GTAATATAATCACTGGGCAATGCAGACCTTCTTTCCCTTTCCGATCTCCTAACTTGTGGCTCGATAACTGACTCAGTCGTTGCTGGTGGAGGAACCTAAAGTTCCTCTTACCGCAGGTTCTTCATTCACAATTTTAGTTGGTTGAGGTATAACTATCTCCTGTCTAACAGGAACTGGACTCAGTTCAACAAAAACTTCCTTCAATGTGGAACTCCCACTATCACCAAAGTCATTTTCCAGAAATGTAGCAGTGATTGACTCAACAATTCTAGTGCCACAGTTTGGATAATAAAACTTGTATTCTTTTGATCTGTCTAGGTACCTAATAAAGTAACAAGGAGTAGATTTTGGGTCAAATTTCTTCTCAAAATGATTATAAATTCTCACCTCACCTGGACATCCTCAAACTCTGAAATGAGCCCAACTTGGCTTACATCATGTCCACAACTCGAAAAGTGTCTTTGCAACAACTTTACTCAGAACTTTGTTCAAAATATATATAACAGTTTTCAAGACTTCACCTCATAGATATTCTGGCAAATTTGTTCTACTCATTATACTCTTGACCATGTCTTTTAGAGTCCGATTACGTCTTGTGCGGTGTAGACGGCAATGGTGGTGGTTGTGGCGGTAGTAGTGTGGTGTAGACGGCGTTGGTGGTGGTTGGGGTGACATCAAACTGAAAAAACCAAATATGTGTTTTGAAGATTTTGGCTTGATTATAACTGAAAACACCTAAAACAACAATTTATCGTTTTGAATTTTCTTTGTAAATTTTTAATTTGTTTTCAAAAATTTGTTTTAGAAAATAAGAAAGAAAACTCATTTTCACTATTTTGAAAAATCGAAAACAGAAAACGGCTTGAAAACGGTAAAGAGAACATACCCTTAATATTGTTAGGTTTCAGCATCCACAAGGGGTCGGAGAAATAGGACAAAATGTCAAAAAAGACTGCATCAGAACATAATTGGCCACCATTTGTGATTTTTTTTTATACCCAAGTATCCCAGTTTAGCTAGACTATATCCCATTTGTGATTTTTCATTGTTTTTTGTTCTTATGCATCGTGGTTGGCATTAATAACTTCATAAGTTGACATCAACAACTTTAGAAATGTATATTATTGTTTTAAAGCTTATTTATACATTGGCGCCATCTAGGAACAATGAGACAGATAGAAGTCAAATATTATCTTATTAGTTGACCTTTTAAGAAGATGATAATAAACTAAGCTCATACCAGATCAATGTAGAACCGGTCATCTAATGTGGTCTTGAAGAATAGAAAATTGGATCTATATGTTCTTATAAGTTTCAGGGGAGTTGACTAAAATTTGTCGGGTACATGGTTCTTATAAAGTGGAACACAGGTTTACTAGAAGAAATAAGCCGATACAAGAGTGGAGTAAAACGATAGTATCGACTTCTCGGGCTTAATTTACTCTTTGTTTACCAGAGACGTTTAATAGGTCGAGCGTGTAGGGGCAACGTCCTACAGTACGCTACATGGATATTTTCTTGTATAGGCCCTAAAATCTTGTATGG